AAGCGACCACAGTCAATATTGTCAATGAGAATTTGTTGATTTTGATTCACCCATTGAACTACTCGTCTATTTTGCCAATCGGCAATGATGATCGAATGATTTTGTCGATCAACAATCACATCTGTTGGATAATTCAATTGATTCATTCGATTTCCTTTACCATTTCCACCTGCAATGATTTGTACTTCCGTTGTATTATGTTTCCATTCAACAATACGATGATTTGAACAATCAGCAATGAATATATTTTTATTTTTATCAATAAAGATTCCCACAGGGCAATTAAGTTGATTTAAATTCTCTCCATATCCATTTCCACCAGCCACAGTGATGGCATTTTGATTCCAATTATTGAATTTTGGTTCTAAAATAGAATGAAAATAAAATATATTCAGAGTTCTCCTAACAGTTAATGTCAAACTCATGAAACTTTTACTGATGAAGTTTGGTTTGTTTTTTTTCATTCTTTATATATTTCAATATATATGTTAATGTAATATAAATAGAAAAATGAAATATCACATTTGCTAATAATCACAAAATCATTTATATAGTATGTCATTTATTTCTTTTCTACTATGTGAGTATCGCATAGATTCCACAGAATAACTTTATTTTCTAATAAACTATTCGATAATCATAATAAAGAAATCAAATGATAATTTATTGTGATCATTATAAAATAAGATTTTTTTAGAATAATTAACAAAAACCAACTTACTTTTTTCTAATGGAATAATTGAAATTTCATTAGTAAATGGTTGACAATCTTGTTCAATAGAAGTCTTTGGTGGATTATTTAATTCTTCTTTAATTTTTCTTAATTGATTTCTTAAATAGTTTAAATTAATCTCATTAAATTCATTTTCTCTCTGAAATTGTTTTATTTGTTCATTTAGATCATTAAATCTTTTTTCAATATCATTCAAAAATGTTTGTGAGCATTTAATGACAGTTTCAATGCAATCTTTTGCTTTTTGCTTAATTTTGTTAATTGAATCTATTTTCCATTGATTAATTTGATCTATTAAAGAAAGATCATGCGAGCTCGGTTTTTGTTCATTAAATATTTGTTTAAATTGATTATAATCATTAATAATAAGATGTAGTTCTTCATTTAATATTTGACGATGTTTTGTTAAGTCCATTAAACAAAAGTTTTTCAAACATCCTTCACAAGGATATGTTATTTTATCTTTATTACATATAAAACATTTTCTTCTATTGTTTGTCATTGCCATCTGCTTGAATATAAATTTCTAGAAGAAATGAATATGATGTGTTTTTAGTTTCAAATAAAAATTCAAATAATTCTAGTGATGTTTTTTCAAAGTTGAAGATTAAACATACATTTACACTCATAACTTTACCCTCAAAATGGATGATATATTAATCTCTCCTTCAATCAACTGTATCGTTGTGTTTATCTCCCATCCAGTCTTATACTGATATCATCATTATCACTCTCAATCTCAAGGTAGTTATTATGTAATATTCTTTTTTACTCATTTTTTATATTATTTCAAAAGCGACTAACTTACCAAAATGAAAGTATTTGAAAGAATTGAATTGCTAAACTTGTAAGCAAGCAAATGATATATTTGTTCGCTATATCAATCGTACATATGATTATATGGGTATTTTTCTCTCTTTTTATATATGACCGTATTATATTTTTTCTGTTCTGTTGATTTCTCCCGAGATATGTCATTTCGAAGTTATGAACGGAGATGATATCACGTAGCTATCTCCTCAGGATATATTGTATTGCAGAGATGGAAAGAATCGAACAAATAACCATTGCTCATCATATAAATAATTGCGTTTTCTTTTTCAATCAACAAACTATTACTACGCCTTCAAGCATCATCTTTTTCTTCAATTTTCGATAAAACTATAACACCACTTTGAATTTCTCTTTCATCGATTAAATTCTTCTAACTATATATTTGATTTAAAACAGAAAAACTATATCGAATATTTCAAAAACCTTTTTTTATATATATCAGCATCGATACATAATAGAAGTTTGATCTTTACTCTTTTAAAAAGATTCACTATGAAAAACTCTAGAAAAATGATGATGCTAAATATTTGTGATGATTGAAATTAATGATCTATTATATAATCAAAACAAAACGTTTTACATAATAATATCATCCTCCTCATATTGAACATGATAAAATATATATATGTGGAAATTCAATGTTTGTAATGAATAAATATCATAATAACCATCAATATTTGATATAAATCAATTTACTTGTTTAAACTAAAAAGGATAAATAAATCAAATATATTTATTTATGAAAATTTAATGAAGTAATACTATTATTTATATATGATTTAAAGTAAAGTTCAAATGTTATCAATATTAATATCATGAAAGATTCTATAAAAATGATATTTCTTAAGATTTTTAATACTCAAAAAGCGAATATTTACAAGTCGATATGAATATCAATAGAAGAAAAAAACGAGAAATATTAAAATTGAGTAGGGTGATCTTAAGAGAATAGGTGATACGTAATATGTTCTCGTTAAATAGTTTAATATATAAAATCAATTAAATAACTTTTCATAATTGATATTAATATATAATATATACCTATTTATATGAATTTTTTAATTTATTTTTATTTGTATCATCGTGATAAATATCATTCTGTATACAATAAATTTCAATTCTTGTTTTATTTTTTATGCCATTCGAATAATGATAATGTGAATATCGAAGATAATCAATTTGTACAATTGTTGATTGCCGATGTCTATCTAAAATATTATCTTAAAAGCAGATTAGGATGTGAGGAATGAAATTCAATGACTCTGCACTATGATCATTTTCTCTGTAATTCTTTTGTCTTGCTTTTATTGTTTAACTTATGTATGAAAACACATTTTATGAATCTATTTTCAAATGTAAAACTTTCAAATCACATAAATATTTTTTATTTTTGAGAACAAAAGATATTTTTTCGTAGTTGAACGTATTATATGCATTTTTCAATTGATTTCATCATCAAACTGAATTATTTGGTTAGGTCTCTATCAATTTCAAATAATTATAAACTAATAATAAATAATTTGTCTTATTTATTAAGATATTTCAACAAAATTGTTTTATTCAAGGATCAAAACAAAGAAAATATTTATTTTAATTTATCTGAAAAAAAACAAATCTTGTTGAATGTTTTATTAAAAACAGTCAGATGAAAATACCTTTATTTCATCAAAAATCTTTGAAATTAAAAATCAAACTCCATTCTTGTGTCATTTCAAAACTTTTATTAATTTTTCATTTTGTTTCAAATTCTTCGTTCATTTTTTTTCCGAAATTCTTTTTTTGTTGTTTTCACTTAAATGAATATGTTCATTGATTTCATTTTGACAAATCATTTTCGAATTCAATGTTTTTTAAATTATTAAAGAAAAATCTTTTCAACATTTGTTTTGTTCAACAAAATTCACTTCAATTCAATTTTTATTATCAATCTTCTTTCCTTTTGGCAAATTTCAACAAAACATAAAGAATTTAGCATTTATTTATTCTAATTGTTTAATTAAGCTTATCAAATTAGATTCAATCTTCAAGAAAAAAAACAATAAATACTTTTCTTTGTTTTTTTCTTATCAAAAAATTCCTTTTTCTTCAATATTTATTCGATTTTTTCTTTGATTTTCAACAATAACACTTCACTTTTTCTTTTAGTTTTATTTCTCGATTTATATTCAATAAAAAAAATTTCTTTCGTTAAAACTCAAAATTCTGTTCACAAAACTAATTCAAATTTTTGAATTCGATCATTTTCGCAATCAGCAACATATAGATTTCCTCCATCATCAAAAGATAAACCAGTGGGACCATTTAATTGATTTGTTTGATTTCCTTTACCATTTCCACCAACAATAATTTCACCTTCTTCTTTTTCTTCACACCAACGCATTACTCGATCATTCCCAAAATCGGCCACATAGATTTCATCTAAATAATTAACGATTATTCCTTGAGGTGAAGACAATTGATTGAGATCTTCTCCTTTGCCATTTCCTCCGACCATAAGTGTTCCTTCTTTTGCACCTTTTCTCCATTTTACCACACGATGATTGTCTCTATCTGATACATAAATAGATTGATCTTCATCAACAAAGATAAAAGTAGGATAATCAAGTTGATTGAGTTCATTTCCTTTTCTATTTCCACCTGCAACTACAATTCCTTCGTTGTTATATTTTCCCATTTTCCATCGTCTCACTTCATTCTTCTTATAATCAGAAACATAAAGAAGTCCATGTTTATCCATTGCTAAGCCCCAACAATGGATATTGTCAATGAGAATTTGTTGAGTTTGATTCACCCATTGAATTACTCGGTTGTTTCCAAAATCAGCAATGATGATCGAATGCTTTTGTTGATTCACAATCATATCTGTTGGATAATTCAATTGATCCATTCGATTTCCATTTCTATTCTCACCTGCAATGATATGTGCCTCTTTTGCATTATATTTCCATTCAACAATACGATGGTTATAATAGTCAGGAATGAAAATATTTTTCTTTTTATCAATAAAGATTCCAACAGGCCAATGGAGTTGATCTAATTCTTTTCCTTTTCCATTTCCACCAGCCACAGTGATAGCATTTTGATTCCATTTGTTAAAGTTTGATTCTAGAAAATGATGAAAACAAAAGATTTTGTTTATTTATTTTAGAAAATTTGTCAATAAAAGATACAAATAAATTAAAAATGATTTAAAATATTTCAATTAGAAATAAATTTTATCTTTTAGGCTTTCTTAATAAAATCAATATTAAAATAATAGAAAAAGAGGAAAAATTTTGATTTATTTCAATTTACAGTTTTAATATGGCTATTTAGAAAAATATTTCATATCAAACTTATCTGGAATAGAATAGAATATTTTTTAAGCGATTATGAAGAATTTCTTAAAACTATATTTGTAAGTTTTTGTTTTATTTAATGAGATTGGAAATCTAAACATCTATTGATTTCATTCCGATGATTAGTATGTTAGAACTTGAAAATATCAAAGAATAAAGAGAAAAACAGTAAAAGACGATTAATAAAAGAAATTGAATTAAAATCGAAATGAAACTGTATAACAATGATACCTAGATTTATCACTTAAGCTTTAACGAACTCAAACGAAATATAATTGATTTATATATTTATCAGGGAATATCAATATATAATCATAATAAAATAAAGAAAGCTAATTTTGTTAATTCATTAAATTATAATAATCACAAAAAACAAATTATGAAAAAACTTCTCAATAAACATCTTTTTACAAAATTACACTTTGAAAAGAACTCTTTGATATTCACTTGAGAAAAATTATAGTGTAAATAACTATCAATTAGTATATATTCAAATTTTTTCTAATAGTTAATATTAGACTCATAAAAACTCAAAAAATAGATTTTGATTCCGATTTTTTTCCTTCATTCTTTGTATGTTTAGAATAGATATTAATTCTTTGACGGGTGAATTTTAGATCGTCAAGTTTTGCCACTCTTGATGTTGCAGTTAGAGAGACCTTAAGAGTGGGAATAAATTATCTGGCAGCTTTAGTAAAGCAAGGAAAATGAAGTGCGTCCCTAGCCGTGTGTGCAAAGTGCCGACTTCCGATTTAAGTTTAACTTGAAATCGCTATTGATCAGTTTTAGGTTGAACATTTTTCTTTAACATGTTGGATTTTGTTACTCGTCAAATGGCTTTTCATGCGTCAGTTGAATTCATTATAAAAAGCTATGCGAGATTGTGAACAGACACATTTGTCCCACCGTCTGTTAAAGGGTCAATTTAATATTATTTAATATCTTATTATTCCCTTTCTTACATACAAATAAGTTAAATTTTCTATTTCTACTAATATTATTGTTATTGATTTAGTTAATAAATAACTCAATAATACTCTAAATTATTTTTATAATTTTTCAGCATAATATTCTAGAAAATGAGAATTATTCTTCTAGAAATTTACCTTTTGATAAAATATATGAAATTTCATTAATTAATGATTGTGAATCTTGTTCGATAGAAATATTTGATGGATTATTTAATTCTTCTATAATTTCTATTAATTGATTTCTTAAACGATTTAAATTACTTTCATTAAATTCATTTTCTCTGTGAAGTTGTTTTATTTGTTCATTTAAATCATTAAGTTTTATTTCAATATTATTAATAACTGTTGATGAATATTTCAGGACAATTTCTCTCCAATTTTGTGCTTTTTGTTTAATTTTTTCAATTGAAATTCTTTCCCATTGATTAATTTGTTTTATTAATGAATGATTTTGTGACTTTCGTTTATGTTCATTAATTGTTTGTTTAAATCCATCATAATCATTAATAATATGATTTAATTCATGATTTAATATTTGTTTATGCTCTGTTAAATCTGCAAAACAGAATCCTTTTGAACATCTTTTACAAGAATGTTTTATTTTTTCTATTTTGCTTTTAAAACATTGTGTTCTGTTGTTTGCCATTGCCATGTCTTTGAATAGAAGTTGACAGAAGAAATGAATAAATCCTTCTCTACTTTTATAGTTCTAAATGTAAGCATTCGATGACAATAAAAGCATTGCTCGATTGTAAAAGAAATTGAAAAATAATTCTTTGTTTATGACAAAATTCGGTTAATAAAACTGATGTAATATCTGTTGAGACTACAGTGGTGGTATATAATAGAAACATGATCTCATCTTCAATGTAGAATGTATAGCTGAACTACGTACTTTTTTTTATTTTTGAGATAAGAAAAAACAAGATTCTATGGGATCAATTTTTATTGTCTCAAATAAAATCATGTTTTTTTACATAAACAAGAAAAAATATCTCTTTTTATTGTTTGATATCCTTTTGAAAAGTAATAATAAATATACGACAATTATGTGAGATATTTCTTTTTATTTTATTATTTAATCTATAAAATATACTATTTTTTGAAAATTATTGAGTTTTTCAAATTTTAATCGATTTTTTTCATTGATTTTCAATAATACAACTTCACTTTTTCCTTTACTTTTATTCTTAACGTTTTATTTAACAAAAAAGTTCTTTCCTTTCCTTCAAAATCAAAATTATATTTACAAAATTATTTCAAATTTTACAATTCGATTATTTCCTAAATCAACAATATAAAAATTTTTTTCATCATCAAAAGATAAACCGCGGGGACCATGCAATTGATTTTCTTTGCCATTTCCACCAACAGCAACTTCACCTTTTCCTTCGCACCAACGCATTATTCGATCATTCCCAAAATCTGCTACATAGATTTGACCCAAATCATCAACAATGACTCCATAAGGTGAAGACAACTGAGAGAGATTTCTCCCTTCACCATTTCCTCCAGCCACAACTGTTCCTTCTTTTGAACCTTTTTTCCATTTCATCACACGATGATTGTCAGAATCTGATACATAAACAGATTGATCTTCATCAACAAAAATAAAAGTAGGACCATATAATTGATTGAGTTGATTTCCTTTTTCGTTTCCACCAGCTACTACAACTCCTTCATTGTATTCACCCATTTTCCATCGCCTCACTTCATTCTTCAGACGATCAGAAACATAAAGAAATCCATTTTTATCCATTGCCAAGCCATAACAATCAATATTCTGAATGAGAACTTGTTGATTTTGATTCATCCACTGGATTACTCGTCTGTTCAAAGAATCCGCAATGATGATCGAATGACTTTGTTCATCAACAATCACATCTGTTGGATGATCCAATTGATCTATACGGTTTCCTTGTCCATTAACACCGACAATGATTTGTCCTTCTTTTGCATTGTTTTTCCATTCAATAATACGATGATTATTAAAATCAGCAATGAAAATATTTTTCTTCGTATCAATAAAGATTCCGCGAGGGCCATGGAGTTGATTTAATGCTTGACCTTTTCCTTTTCCACCAGCCACGGTAATGGGATTTTGTTTCCATTTGTTCAATATTGATTCTAGAACATGATAAAAACAAAACATTTTAATAAAAACAAGAAAATCTGTTTTTGGTTGAAGAAAAAGAACTTATTTTTGAAACAAACTGACAAAGTATTTAATTCAAACAGAAAAGAAATTAGAAAAAAAATTGTTGATTTACTCTTTGTTAAATACAAATCTTATCATAAATAATAATAATTTACATTTTCAAAAAATTAAATTTTCTTTCTTTTCTTTTAAAACATATTAATTTTTCTTCACTTCAATGCTCTCGATTAACTATGATTCACCCACCTGATGTCCAGTCAGTCTCGAACAACTTTCATTTTAATATTATACATACTAAAGTTAGAATCAAATCACACCTTTTTAGGTATGGTTTAGTGACGCCAGTCGTTTACTGTTATCTATCTTCTATACATTCAATCCCTTTAATAGGTAGCGTCACCAAACTTTCCATGGTACTCCGCTAGGTCCATGGGAAGGTCATGAGGAGGTTGGCATCACTAAACGAGGGGGAGAGCTGGGTGAAATTTCACTTAGACATTTCTGTGATAGCTAACGCTATCAAACTGTCCATGACGCTTCCTTATGTACAGAAAAAGTCGAGATAAAGTGCAGACAGAGTTGGAGCGAAATCTATAAGAAAAATGATTGATTTTGCAATGAGACCTGTAAAAAACCGGGTGGACTTGGAGTGCTCCATAGGCTGAGCTGTGCTATTTCAAATATTTATGATGGAATATATTAGGATGATAGATGAAGAATTTCACGCACAATCCTCTCTGTATTTCCTGTCGTTTTCTAATATATCAAGTTTTCGGTCTGTAAGGTTCTGAACCAACCTCGGGTAGCTTTACTAGTTGATTGATAAAAGTGAAAAAAACAACGATTTATCAATTATATCAAAATGACTTACTGCATTCTTTTGATTTTTTTGTAATCATATATTGTTGTAATGCAAATATTCCAGTTCCAATCATCAAAATAAGAATAAAACTACATATCAATAATTTCAAATACCAATTACATCGAATATAATCTTTTGATTTTCGTTTTTGTATTGTGTCTAAAATAACAGATTAACATTATGTATCGAAATCTGATAAAATGAACATGTTTGTTTTACCATTGTCGGTTAATTTGTCTATTTCACTTGTCTGAATTTCATTATCATTTAATTGTATTGTTTGATTGATTTCCGATATAACACGTCTCAGTCGGAGATGTTCTTCATAATCTTTTTTTTGCGAAGCAATTTTAGCTAAATCTTTATAAACAGTAAGAAGTAATGGATCATTTTGTGAGAGTTCATCTAAACAACGATAATAATATTTCTTCGATAAATCGAGATGTCCCATTCCTCGTAGAACTTTTCCTAAAATACAAAGATTTGTTTCACCATTTCCAATTTCATTTTTCATATCCATAAGAATTTCTTTTAAATTATGTTCATCATCACTACATAAGCACATTTGAATAATCCAAAATTGATTTTGATCATCACGAATAATTGAATTCAAACGAAATATCGATCCAAGCATAAAAAGAACTTCGAACTCATCACTAAAATCACTAAATTGACTAATATCAGCAAATGGTTTTGTTGTAACAACTTTTGGATCAGCATCAATTTCAAATAAAACTTTTTCAAAATCGATCCATTGATGATTTGTATCACCGAGATAAAAAGTTGCAATATCTTTTTTAAAACTCGTCGAAAGAAATGAATTCACTGAAACATATTGTCCAATACTACTTTTAAGATGCTTTAATTCATCAGTTGACATTAATTGACTTCGATAAACACGATTAGGACATTGACATTGATGATTTTCTAATTGATTTTGTATATCAATAATAAATGAACGATATAAATAAATCATATGAATATTTTCTTTTCTTAGAGCTGCATTTAATGTTTTATAAAAGAAAGATTCACGTGTATACCACGATAAAGCATTATCCGATGAATAACTGCTCTGAAATTCATGAAGATGGTTTAATTCATTTTGATTTCCTTCATATTCTTTTTCACAATATGAAATTAATTCATTTCGATCATTTTCATTTGGTTTTAATCGAAGAAGACAATCAAGTAACAATTGAGAAAATACAAATTGACCATTGATTCCTGTTGTTGATTTTCCTGCATCATTTACTGTTGTAAACATATTCATCCATATAGGTTCTTCTATTTTCCGACGATTTTTATAATCTTCACGGATTTGTGAAATGAGTTCATCCATTTTAACATGAATACCTTTTAACTAGAAAAATAATCAGATGAAATTAAACTTTATTAATACTTTTTTTTGTTTACCTTGGGAAAATCATTTGACCATTGTTCATCTTCTGAATTGATATAAACTGATGAAATTTGTCTTAGTTGATGAATGGAAGGAATAATTTGTTGACCGAATTCACCATTAGTAACAAGAACTAATCGATCATTTTCTGATGTTTTCTCAATATAGTTTTTACATTCTTCAACATCATCGAATGTTTCAATATGATTAATTGTATTACGTAATTCTTTTTGGATGTCAACGTTTTCATTATTATTAAGCCAAATAAGACTAAAGCTTTCAAGATGATTGTCATTTCTTTTTCTAATAGATTCTTTAGGAGTTTCAAGAAGTGGAATCATTTCCATTATTTTGGAAATAACATTGTGAATTAATCAAGGAAAAGAATAATCTAAAATCATGTAAGAATAAGTCACTCATTTGCCACACCCACGCTTAAACACAAACATATATTATCTCAATTGTCGGACTTATGGAGGACAATGATACATGATTGCCTGTTGGCTAGTCTATCTACCTAAGAATGGGACCTTGATTCAGCAAAGATCTCAAAGTCTGCAGAATATTTTATCAACAATTTCTTTGAAAGATAATTGGCAGTCATAATCCAAATAAAATTGAGTAATAAAATTTATATGATCCTTTCAAACATGCTTCAAATCTTCTTCGTTTTTTTATAGATTTCCAATATTTTAAAATTTCTCTCCTGACGCTTGTGAAATAATTTTCATACCTTTGATTGTGTATTAGTATATCGTTTTTGTTTTAAAAAAATATGAAAGATTAAATGATACCCATCGTCTTACATATAGTCTTTCCTTTTCTTTTTTTTTAACTCCGAAATTGGTACACCTGGATTTTTTCTCACTTTATGATAGATATCAATTACATTTCATTTATGACAAAGAAGAGAAGAACCTTTTAAAAATGGCTGCGATTGATTACAAAAAGGCAATTTAAAAAGCTGTCTTTTGACATTGTTATATGATACTGATCATAAAATGAGAAAAAACAAAATACAGTTTACATTTGAAAATCACAAAAACTCAATAAGAACTCATCGGAATCGGTCTGGTGTGGGTGTGGGTGTAGGGGCGTGTTTTAGTGTAACTCTTGCTTTAATTAATTATGAGTTATCGTCACTTACAAACACACCTACACTTACACCCCCACCCTCGATACTATCCACACTTACAGCCACACCCACCCTCAAATAAGCTTCATTCCAATTCAATCGGAATTACAAAATATTCTCTTTTCTTTTCCTTTGCAAAAATCAACAAAAGGTGAAAAAATTTAATATTTATTGGAATTTTTTAATCGAAAATATCAAAATAAATTTTTCAAAAAGACCGAAACAAAAAGAATCTTTTCTGTTATTTCCTCATCAAAAAATTCCTATTTCTTCGATATTTATTAGATTTTTTCATTGCTTTTCAACAATAGTATTTAACTTTTTCTTTTCTCAAAATAAAAATTATATTCACAATATTAATTCAAATTTTTGAATTCGATGATTTTCCGAATCAGCGACATAAAGATTTCCTTCATCATCAAAAGATAAACCATGAGGATGATTCAATTGATTTGATTGATTTCCTTTACCATTTCCACCAACAACAATTTCACCTTCTTCTTTTCCTTCACACCAACGCATTACTCGATCATTCCCTAAATCTGCCACATAGATTTGACCTAAATCATCAACAACTACTCCTTCAGGTGACCATAACTGATTGAGGTTCCTTCCTTTACCATTTCCTCCAGCCACAACTGTTCCTTCTTTTGCATCTTTTCTCCATTTCATCACACGATGATTGTTTTCATCTGATACATAAATAGATTGATCTTCATCAACAAAGATGAAAGTAGGGCGATTGAGTTGATTAAGTTGATTTCCACTTCCATTTCCACCTGCCACTACAGTTCCTTCATTGCTTTCTCTCATTTTCCAATGCCACACTTCATTTTTCTTATAATCAGAAACATAAAGAGATCCATGTTTATCTGTTGTCAAGCCCAAACAGTCAATATTGTCAATGAGAATTTGTTGATATTGATTCAACCATTGGATCACTCGTCTGTTATTACAGTCAGCAATGATGATCGAATGATCTTGTTGATCAACAACCACATTTGTTGGATGAAACAATTGATCCATTCGATTTGCTCCACCATTGCCACCTGCAATGATTTGTCCTACCTTTGCATTACATTTCCATTCAATAATGCGATGATTATAATCATTAGCAATGAAAATATTTTTGTTTTTATCAATAAAGATTCCTCCTGGACAATTGAGTTGATTAAAATTCCATCCTTTTCCATTTCCGCCAGCTACAGTGATGGCATTTTGTTTCCATTTGTTAAATGTTGGTTCTAGAAAATGATAAAAACAAAAGATTTTGACAAAAAGAAGAAGAGAAAACTTTGTTTTTTTATAGAAGAAAAAAAACAAAAGATTGGTTTTTTTGTCAAAGTTCACTTTTGAAAAATATTCTACTGAAAAAGAACATAAAAGAAATAATCTTCCATTGTTTTTTGAATGAAATAAAGAAATATTTTGTTTTCAAAAGATAAGAAAAATTGAGAAAGAGAAAAGATTTTTTTGATTTATTACTTTTAAATAAGAACAATAGTATTTTCAATTGTTTTTATTATTTTCATCCTCACTTTTCTTTGTTTTTATAGGTTTTTAGCATAAGTTCATAGTAAATGAGAATTACTCTTTTAAAAACTTACTTTTTTCTAATGAAACAAATAAAATATCATCAATTAATGATCGTGAGTTTTGTTGAATAGACATATTTGATGGATTATTTAATTCCTCTGTAATTTTTTTTAATTGATTTCTTAAATAATTTAAATTATTTTCATTAAATGCATTTTCTTTTTGAAATTGTTTTATTTGTTCATTTAAATCATTAAGTTTCATTTCAATATCATTAATACATATTTGTGATGATTTCATGAGAATTTCTCTGTACTCCTGTGCTTTTTGTTGAATTATTTCAATTGATTTTATTTCCCATAGATTAATTTGTTTTATTAATGAATGTTTCTGTGGATTTTGTTTTTGTTCATCTATTCTCTGCTTAAATTGATCGTAATCATTAATAATATGATGTAGTTCTTCATTTAATATTTGACGATGTTCTGTTAAATCCATCAAACAAAATTCTTTTGAACATCCTTCACAAGGATATGTTATTTTTTCTTTATTACACTTAAAACATCGTGTTGTGTTATTTGCCATTACCACGTCTATGAGTAGAAGTTGATAGGAAAAATAAAGAATCTCGTTATCTACTTTTATAAATATAAATTTAATAATTCAATGACAATATGTTTTAATGTAGATTGAGGGTGTAGGTATATTTGCTAGTGAGTTCTCATTGCTCCATACTTACACTCATGAATGCTTATGAGAATTGACTTAATCTTACTGCGGCCTAGTTAGAACAAGAAGATGAATTCGAAACTCAGAATTAGTTGTGCTAGTATCAATACTAATATATCTTCTATATATGTAACACTTTCTTTTCATTCTCAAAATTCTTCATATCATCATTTAACTTTTCTAAAATTTGTCCTTCTATTTCTGGATGATCTAATCTATGATGGTTAGTTGAATTTGTTGTTGCTGATTAACTCATGATAGATTAAAATACTAGTAATATCTTACAAATAAGAAATAAAAGAATGATACTCTCCTGATAATACTCTTTTTTTTTAATGCCTTGAAAATACATTATCTCATCACCGAAGAAAACGTTGAATAAATAACGACTAAACACACATAAATACGATATTTTCTCTCTTCTCTTTTTTCTCGTGAAATTAACCTTCATAAGCGATTTTTTTATTCGTCAGTATTTGTGTGATGTAAAGTAGCGTTATGTGATGACTTGATGTATCTGTTTTCTTTCTATTCTTGACAAAATTTCGACAAAGAAAGGTAAATGAAGAAAAGGGAGTATACCAACATTGAATCATTATTTGTTTCATTCATATATGCTTGTGTTTTCGAAACACATGTTCGTAATACGACAAAAAAAAACAGTTAGTTAAAATGATTTTACAAAATTTAAACTTAGGTTAATTAATAAATAATGAATTAGAAATATTTCAATCATTTTCAACAGCCTATAAAAAAAGAAGGACCAACAATAAAATCGAAGATAATATCCTTTAAACAAATAAAAACAGTATCAGATTTCATTGAAAATATTCAATTATTATCTCAAAAAAACTTTAATTCAATTCAATAGTTGTCTTCACATCAATAACAGTCTTTAATATATTACAAAAATCTGTTGATTTGACATCTCAGATTATAGTGATGAAGAACAGTTTCCTCAATTAAGCGAAAATATCATTTGAAATGAAAGCTTGATGTCACGTGTAACAGTGGAGCAAGAATTGGAATGAATGTATCAAAAATACAAATAGAAATTTCTAAAGCACAAAATCTTTTTTTCAAATTATAAAATATTTTCTTTTCTTTTTTTTCTATATATCTCGACAAAAATTAACAAAATATGAAGAATTTAACATTTATTTATTCGAATTTTTCATGGATTGTAAGTAGTAAAACTTTACCTTTTCTTTTATTTTTATTTCTCGATTTTTATTCAGTAAAAAAGCTTCTTTTATTTTCTCAAAATAAAAATTACATTCACAATATTAATTCAAATTTTTGAATTCGATGATTTTCCGAATCAGCGACATGAAGATTTCCTTCATCATCAAAAGATAAACCAAAGGGATGATTCAATTGATTTGATTGATTTCCTTCACCATTTCCACCAACAACAATTTCACCTTCTTCTTTTCCTTCACACCAACGCATTATTCGATGATTCCCTAAATCTGCCACATAGATTTGACCTAAATCATCAACAACTACTCCTGTAGGAGCAAACAATTGATTGAGATTTCTTCCTTGATCATTTCCTCCAGCCACAACTATTCCTTCTTTTGCATCTTTTCTCCATTTCATCACACGATGATTGTTGCTATCTGATACATAAACAGATTGATCTTCATCAACAAAGATAAAAGTAGGATTCTTGATTTGACTGAGTTGGCTTCCTTGTCCGTTTCCACCTGCAACTACAATTCCTTCATTGTTATATACATCCAGTTTCCATCGTCTCACTTCATTTTTCTTCCAGTTTGAAACATAAAGAAATCTATGTTTATCAATTGCCAAACAAGAACAGTCAATATTGTCAATGAGAATCTGTTGATTTTGATTAAACCATTGAATCACTCGTCTATTCCCTTTATCAGCAATGACGATCGAATGACTTTGTTGATCAACAACTATATCTGTTGGAAAGTTCAATTGATCCATTCGATTTCCTTGCCCATTTCCACCTGCAATGATATGTCCGTCTTTTGCATTATATTTCCACTCAACAATACGATGATTTGCATAGTCAGCAATGAAAATATTTTTGTTTTTATCAATAAAGATTCCCACAGGGCTATTCAGTTGATTTAATTGTTGTCCTTCTCCATTTCCGCCAGCCACAGTGATGCCATTTTGTTTCCATTTGCTGGATTTTGATTCTAAGAAAGGATGAAAACAAAAGATTAATATACAATGAAACGTTGATTTTGGTTTTTTGTGAAATTTGAATTCTGAATGAACTACCGTTAAAAATGTTCAACGAAAAGAGAAAATGTATTTGAGTTTTTGGTGAAGTTTGAAAAGAACTTTATTGAAAAAAATTATAAATCATTTGAAGTTTTGTATTTGGAAAATAAAAATATGTTTCGATGTTTTTTCGCATAAAAGTTATTAAAAGGGAATGAAGAAATATTTTATTTAATAAGAAAAAAGAGTTTATTCATTGATAAATCTATTCAATAATAAAACATCTTGAAATCTTTAGACCAAAACAACATTTTCTCGTAAAGATATTCAAGTTTTGAAAAGAATTCATATAAAACAAAGAATATCACAAATATTTTAGGAAAGAAATATTATTCAGAGTTGATCATTTCAGAATGTTTTACTATAATGAATAAATCTATCATCTCTAAGGAAATTTTCTAACCAAAAATAATTATTCAATGTTTTTCCTACACTACTTTCTATTGAATATATAAAATTCTAATTTAAATGTAATTAAAAACTTGAAAATATTCATTTCTAAATTATTCTTTTAATGATAAGACATATTTATCTTCAAATACATTTCATGTCCGATACAAACAGACAAATAAAACATCATATTTGTCAATAATCATAAAATATTTTCTAGTATATCATTTATTTATTTTCTATTGTGTGAGCAGTACATAAATTTTATAGAATAAATTTATTATCTAATAATCTATTTACTAAAAAAAACCAAATGATAAACTACTATTGTAATAACTAAAAAATCTCATCTTTTTATTCTTTAAAATAATAAAAAAATTGTCTTTTTAATTCTCAATACTAAAAAACGAATAAAAAAGATTTTGGTTTTTTTAATTTAACAAAAACTTTAACATAAAATATCTAAAGTGATGAAATTCTAACAATGTGTTTACATTAATTATTTATTTTACTTAAAATATTAAAAAAATTCAATTTTATTTTTGAATTAACTATTATTTCATATCTTATCATTCTTTTTTTTATAGTTTTTTAGCATAAATTCATAAAAAATGAAAATTATTCGTTTAGAAATTACTTCTTAAAATCGTACCTATCGATGAAATAATCGAAATTTCACTAATAAATGATTTGGAACCTTGGTGAATAGAAATATTTGATGGATTATTTAATTCCTCTGTAATTTTTCTTGGTTGATTTGTTAAATAATTTAAATTTATTTCATTAAATTCATTTTCTTTGTGAATTTGTTTTATTTGTTCACTTAAATCATTGAATTTCATTTCAACATCATTAATAAATCTTTGTGCATATCTACTGACAATCTTTCTACAATCTTGAGCTTTCTGTTGAATTATTTCAATTGAATTTCTTTCCCATAGATTAATTTGTTTCAATAATGAATGACTTCGTAGATTTTGTTTTTGCTCATTAATTCTTTGCTTAAATTGGTCGTAATCATTAATAATATGATTTAGTTCATCATTTAATAGTTGTTTATGTTCAGCTAAATCCATAAAACAAAATCTTTTTGAACATCCTTCACAAGAATATGTTATTTTCTCTTTCTTGCATTTAAAACATTGTGTTTTATTGTTTGCCATGGCCATGTCTTTGAATAAAAGTTTATAGAAGAAATGAATATCTCCTTATCTGCTTTTATAAATATTAACTTGTAATGACTCGATGATAATAAAAACATTGCTCGGTAATAGGAGATATCGAAAAAGAAACCAAACAATTTTTATGATATTTATTCAGTGACAGAATATTTCAATGTCGATTTGGATTTAACTAAAGATTAAGTATAAATCTGCACCCACAACTTTGATTACTAGATCAATGATGTATTCATCTCTTATCCAGTCAACTGCATTGCCATATTCACTTTCATCATCATTATCATCGCTTTCGTTCTCAAAATAATTATTGTATATTACTCTTTTTCATTCATTTTTCATATTATTTCAAAAAATAAACTCACATAAATGAAAATATTTTAAAGAATTGAATTTTTAAACTTTTGATGTTTTACAATTATTTCGATATATACAAGAATTTCGTCAATATCTTACTTTGAGTTTCTTTTTTATCAGGTATATTTTTCGACAAAAGAAAATCTATCGAAAATTAAACCATTGATAAATACAAAGATTTAATTTAGAAAGAAAAAATATATCGAAATTAATAAATAAATTAGATATAGTCATATGTAAGAATAAAAACGAAAGTAGTATATACATATATCTGAGTATAGATACATAATAAAACTATTTCTCATAATTTAAACCATCTTGAAGGTGTGGGTGCTAGGTGAATATGCTATTCACACTCTTACCTAGACCCAGATCCAGTGCTCTCATTTCAACAATATATTAATCTACATTTTTATACAAAAAAGCAATTTATCCTAATTGTGAATCTTTGTTTAATATTAGCGATTATGCTCGATTATAAATAATTAAAGTTGGTTTGTATTTGTTTAGTATTGATTCGAGTTTATTAGAAATGAATAGTACTAATTAGAGTTCATTAGTATATTGTTTAGGATAATTAATTGAATGCGTAATCCGCTGTTTTTTCCTTGCTATTGTTCATCGAAACGAACCCAATCGATTTCCATTCTTTGAGGAAAGGCTCCCTCATCAATACCGTGTTTACCAACTCTAGAACAGAAATCACACAAGTTTTCATCATGCAATATTAAGAAAAAAGGATTGTCAACAATTCTTACGCGGTTCCACCAATGGCGAGATTCATATGTATACGGAACGGTTTATCAAATGGCCTGAAATACAGAGAGGAATAAAATCTGTCAGCTAGATTTCACTCTACATAGCTTACCATTGTGTCCAATCTGTATTACTCTTTTCCCAAACGAAGATACGTGTCAGAAGTGCTTGTTTTTCATTGGAACCGACAAACATTTCCATTTTGTCTGGTTCCCATTGAACTAAACAAAGAAAATACATTACATTGTTTAAATCATTTCTAATATAAAATACGAAAACGTACGCGTATAAATCATATATTCTATTGTTGCATTACTGACTTCAACCGCGTGCCATTGGTGATTGTTCGACTTTGTAGCAGTGCCAGCAGTAACTGTTGTCCAGTCATGTCCAAGGTGTGCCATCAAATAAATTGCACCATTGTCTGGCCACATAGTATTTCCATAAGTCCGGTTCTCAGGTATCTAAAGAAAAACGCAAGTCAAGCGCGATTAGCTTTAATGGCAACAAATTTTTTTATGTCATTCAGATTACTCACCAGATAAAGTGAAGACCAGGTACCTTTGGCGGATGGAAGTTTTGCTCGAATCTATAGAATTGTGTAGTACGTTCGTAAGTGTCGACTTTTAATTTCATATTAAAAAACAGCAAAGAACTTACCTGTAGTCGTCCATAAAGAAAAGCTTGTTTACTTATCAATCTTGCGGATGTAAACCGCTTGTTTTTATAGTTTTCTTTTCGTGCTTCAATGATCAACTGCCCATTTTCACACCATGCATTCTTCCGATAATTATCAGTGTAATACTGCTCTTCTTCATTTCCCCAGCCATTACCCCCAACGTCGAATTTCCATTTACTCATATCTACCCCGCCGTCTTGATTGAATTCATCTTCAAATGTATGATCTAGATAGAAATCAAAACAAAACAAAAGATAGTTATTAGAAAAACATAAGCTAACTACATGGATACTACTGCTTGTTTCTTATTTAAAAATTTTATTCACATCGAGGAAAACTTATTTAATTTTCTTTCACAAATCAGTGGACATCAAATTTCGACACCCACTGCTTAGATACGCAACGGTCACGCTCAAGTCATAAAGATTGATGTGAACTTTCGGTGAGAATCTTTTCAAATAACGCTTGCTATTTTGCAGGGAACCATCTTGAGGGTGGGTATAGATGTTGGTGTCAGTGTGGGTGCTCGATTCAATTTACACTCGCACCCCTCCGAGTGAACAACTACTTTTGAATATAAGAATGATAACTTTGAGGAATAGTATGTAGTATGATATCATTATTATAGGACAGACTAGTGTTTCCTGAGTGCAACTGTTCGACAAACAACTTTCCTGAGACCATATTTCTGACCTGAAAATAACTCAACAGCTGTCTTTACTGTATTGAATACCTATCTGAACAAATATTCATTTTTCTGTTCTTCTACAATTTTAAGTGATTTCTTAAAAGACTAGAATGAGGTCTTCAACATTTTTGAAATGGAATACTGATTTAGCATTCCGTTCTGAAGTTCTTGTCTTTAGAATATCACATTAAACTTTCACTCTACCCAAAATTACACCTTTTCTTAGTATTATACAGTTGTATGATGGACTGACTAACTTGATCTTCTCAACAAAAATTAGTTTGTTCAAAACTTAGAGTGAATCAATCTTCACATTGCTCTTCACAGATTGAACTTTGTTAATTATATACATTAAGTACTAACAAAGACGATATCTCAGCAATATAAAGGAATTTAAAAAATTTTCTTACTTAGACATTTCTTGCTCTTTGTATCACAGTTTTTACGTGCACAGTCTGAGCTTGACGTACAACCTTGCTGAGGTAAACATTTCTTCGAGCAAATTGCACCACCGCAATCGACATCACTTTCATCTTGGTTCTTAACACCATCCGTACAAGTCGGCACTATAACAAAGAAAAAGATAGTCAACTTTGTGACATTATGACAATATGAAAAGTTTTTGAGCTGTGGGTGTGGATGCGAGAATAAATATAATGGAACACCCACACACGCCCTATAGATATATACATTGAATGAGTGGATGATGAGTTATTAGAAAAAGTAGCACTTTTTTTTGAAGAATCAAAGGTAAAAGGGGTATGGGTAGTACTCTCAAGTATACTCTATCGCTGATAGAAATATTAAAATAATTGGCTGTTGGCATACGGAATACCGCCAATCAATATTTTGATGACAAACATCTTTTTGTTATGCTTACAGATTCCTTAAGAATCGATGAAAACTTCTGAAATCTTTTATGCTGAGGTACAACACCTTGGCAGTGATGGCTGAAAAAACAAAAAAAAACAAAAAATCTCGAAAAAATTACCAAAAATTTTGCTATAGTTTTGATTTTTTTGGTGAGAAAAAGTAACCTGATCGAGTTGAAGTTTTTATGGGATACTTATCTTACTACCTCCTATCATATATAAAAAAATCAGTAAATTCTAGAATGACATTGTCCCATGACCGTTTGACTTTCTCAGAAACTTACTCATGTCGAGTTTAGTTTTAAGTACAACACGGCTATATTAATTACTTAGTTTTTCTAGTTGTTCCACTTTATCCTTCAATTGTTGAATCGTTTTATTAGATTGATTATTCGATGTTTTCAACTGACGAATATCAGCGAAATTCCGAATAGAAAAGAATGCTAATATTCCATATCCAATAATCAATAATAATACAAATAGTAATAAACATTTCCACAGTATCTTTCTAGATTTTAATAATTGTTTCTTTTTGAATTCTGGATGCTGTGGTTTTTCATCACAGTTCATTATTGGTATTTGATTAATATTTGTATTATTACTATTGATCATTATATTGTTATTACCACAAGTATTTTTCTGATTAACAAGAACTAAATTAGATTTTTGACAAATATAAAATATAAATATAGTTAAACACTTACGTTGTTGCATAGAATATTTATCTTCATCTAGATCTTCAAAAAGTTGATTTATCACTGGTGGCAATATCATCGATAAACTTTCAACTGATTGATTATGTGCATCTGATTGGTTGTGTCTCCAATGTTCTAGATTAATAAAATACAAAAGGAAATGAATTAAAACAAAAAATATACCTCGTAATAATTTCACAGCATCAATACATTGAATTTCATCAAATGCATTTATAAGAAAAGTAAAATCTTTTTCGTTTACTTTATCTTGATCGAAAAGAGAATCCATAAGACTAAGTGTTCCACCAAGTGTTGGATCATCTCGAATTCGTCGTGGTACATCATTGCCGAGATAGAAATGTAAACGTTTTCGATCATCATTACTAAGACGATCTTGTAATTTCAATATCATAGCACGTAAACGATGATTATCCATCAGCTGATATGGTTTCTGCAAGAAAATAATCACTGTTTCGTATCATACTTAGATATCCTAAAAAATCACTTAATTACTGTACAGACAATCTTTTAGAAAATTTATTATCATTGAATTGATATTGTAGAGCAAACGTTTGTCTATTAATTTATGATTAAAGATATGAGGATGCCTATCACTGTTCTCATTTGTGTGTCTTTATAATCGTTTACTTCTTTTTTCTCAACGACTTACCTTCTATAATAGTAGTAGCAAAAAAAAGCTTTATCGGTTTAGATTAATACTCTTCCTTTTATCTTATTTGGAGGGAAAGATTATGTATTTCCCACCATGACTCAACAACATTCCTATCAAACAATTGCTCTTTCCACGTAATATAAAAACAAACGCAAAATAATATGATATAGTGGTGATAGAGAACAGATGAAAAAAAAGAAAAAGAAAGCATTAGAGAGACATATACAGAACAGAAAGAAAAGAGAACAACAATCGAGCAAAGGTTACTTCAGATAGTTTAATTATAATAGTAATCAATATTGTTATGGCATGATATATGTCTTGCCATAAAGAATGCTGATTCTCTTTCATTTCCTCACGTACTACTGATATCGTTGAGCATTTAGGAAGTGAATATTGTGAACAGAAGGATAGTTCTTGTTTTTTGAAAGAAGAGGAATAAAGAACAAAAAGGAGAGATATTAAATATATTTTGATATATTACTCTAACAGATTCAACATCAAAAATAGTCAAGACACTTCAATTTATAATTTATGCAATATATTTTTTTATATTTTGCTACGAAAAAAGAGTTTAGTTAATTCATGAAATTACAGTATATGCTGTACTAATTATGTACTAGTCAATAATAGTGTTTTATATTCTAGTGAGAATGGTGTCGACTGAGAAATTTGATACATAAAGATGTTAGATTATTCATTAAAGCATGTTATATAAGCTGTTGACACTGCCAGTATCACATAGTATATAACAAACAAATGTAACGATCAACATATTTTGTTCTTTGATTTTATTGAAAAAAATTTTATCATATTAGTAAAGACATTTGTTTATGGATGAAACAAAAACGTATAAATAATTGTGTTTTGTAACGAACAACATTATTCATGATCAAAAAAAAGAAAAATTGAAGTGATTAGATCTCTTTTTTATATAAATATATATACTTTGATTCTCTTTAAATATTTTCGATAAAATCGTTTCTCTAACTATTCACACTTTCTAACTTATAGAATATATCAATATACATATATGATTGCTACTTTCTGAATTTAACTTGTTATTTGACTAGTGACATAACTACCAGGATACACGATAATATAATGCCTCTCTTTGAGTTTTCTCTTTTCTCATCGTAAAGCTGTGTGTCCGTGACCTTAGTTGTCGTGATATAGTTATGAATATAACAGCAATTTAATGGTGAGACCAACAAAATTTAGTCGTGATATGAAAACACGTACATGAAGTTTTCGTCCTATTAAAAATAATGGTAACAGTACATGTTCTAAGGGACTTGATGAAAATATTAGAGATATGAGGGTGTGGGTGTGGCTACTTTTACTTTGTATTTATACCTTCACATCCACACCCAAATTGAATTAAATATGGTAAAGAAATTAGCAAATGCTTATTTTAATTTCTTAGAAAAATAAAAAATATCTCTTTGTAAGTTTTATTGAAAGAAATTAGATAAAGATATTTTCATTTCATCAATAATCTTTCAAAATAAAAATCAAATTTGAACTTTGTATTATTTCAATCTCTTGTTCATTTTTTTTCGTAATTCTTTTCTTCTGTTTTCATCTAAATGAAAATGTGCATTGATTTATTTTAATCTTTCAAATAATTTTTATTTTTCCATCTTTTATTTAACAAAAAACTTTTTTCCTAAAATCAAAACTAATTCACAAAATTATTTCAAATTTTGCAATTCGATGATTAAGAGAATCGACAACATAAAGATTGCCTTCATCATCAAAAGACAAACCACGAGGATAATTCGAGTGATCTTCTTTTCCATTTCCACCAACAACAATTTCACCTTCATCGTTTCCTTCGCACCAACGCATAACTCGATCATTCCCAAAATCTGCCACATAGATTTGACCCAAATGATCGACAATGACTCCACGAGGATAAGACAATTGATTGAGATTTCCTCCTTCACCATTTCCTCCAGCCATAATTCTTCCTTCTTTTGCACCTTTACTCCATTTCATCACACGATGATTACCTGTATCCGATACATAAATAGATTGATCTTCATCAACAAAAATAAAATTAGAATGATTGAGTTGATTGAGTTCATCTCCTTCATCATTTCCACCTGCTACTACAATTCCTTCGTTGTCGTAGTCACCCATTTTCCATCGTCTAACTTCATTCTTCATAATATCAGAAATATAAAGAAATCCATGTTTATCTATTGCCAAGCCACAACAGTCAATATTTTCAGTCAGAATTTGTTGATCTTGATTCAACCATCGAATCACTCGTCTGTTTCCAGAATCAGCAATGATGATCGAATGATTTTGTTAATCAACAATCACATTTGTTGGTCGATTCAATTGATCCATTCGATTTCCTCTGTTATTTCCACCTGCAATAATTTGTCCTTCTTTTGCATTATATTTCCATTCAACAATACGATGATTACAATCATCGGCAATGAAAATATTTTTCTTTTTATCAATAAAGATTCCAAAAGGACGATTAAGTTGACTTAATTCTTGTCCTTCTCCATTTCCACCAGCCATACTGATAGCATTTTGATTCCATTTGCTGACTTTTGATTCTAGAAAACGATGAAAAAAAAAGATTTTGATGGAGAGAAGAAAAAGAAGAAATCTTTTGTTGTATTTTGGAATCGAAATTTAGAAGAAAATGAATATTTTTATTGAACGATAATTTATTTTTAAAATAAACTGATAAATATTTAATTTGAAAAGAAAAGAGAAAAGATTTTATAGTCTTGTTTTCATTAAATAAAAATTTGAAACTAATTTTAATTTAATACTGTTTCATATCCTATCATTCTTTTCTTTTACATACAAATAAATTCAATTTTCTATTTTTGTATTGATACTAGTGTTATTGATTTAATTAATCATTTCATCAAAAATTAGTATATTTCTTTTAGAAATTATTTCTTAAAAACTTACTTTTTTCTGAAACTATTGAGATTTTGTTAATGAATGCTTGTGAATCTTGTTCGATAGAAATATTTGATGGACTATGTAATTCTTCTGTAATTTTTCTCAATTGATTTCTTAAATGATTTAACTGAATTTCGTTAAAGTCATTTTCTTTCTGAAGTTGTTGTATTTGTTTGTTCAAGTCATTAAATTTCGTTTCAATATGATTAATACATGTTTGTAATGATTCAATGACAACATCTCTGTACTCCTGCGCTTTTTGTTGAATTATTTCAATTGCATTTCTTTCCCATTGATCAATTTTTTTGATTAATGAATGATTAAGTGGACTTTGTTTTTGTTGATTAATTCTTTCTTTAAACTGATTATAACCATCAATAATATGATGTAATTGTTCATTTAATATTTGTTGATGTTCTGTTAAATGTATTACACAAAATCTGTTTGTACACCCTTCACAGGTATATGTATTATTTTCTCTGTGACATGTAAAACATTGTGTTTTGTTTGTCTTTACCATGTCTTTTAATAGAAGTCTATATAGAAGAATTGAATATCTACTTATCTGCTTTTTTAGGTATGAACTTAAGAAAGTGTTTATGGACACACGTGTATATGGCTAGTCGACTATGTACACACACATATGTATGTGAATGGTTAACTATTTGACTAGTAAATATGAAGTCGTACTATTATGTTATATGTATTTCTTTGTTAATATGAACTAAATATCTTATCTTTTTAATAATTTCATTTAACTCTGTATCATACACATTGTATTTTAAAATCAAATTCGTAATGTAATCGAGTCAATTCTTGATTTGATCTTGATCCATCTTTTACTTGTGTTCGAAAAGCATCACTATGATAGCATACATATATTATATTTTGATATTGAAAACGATGGAGGAATTCTTTCATTTATTTGTCATTATATTTCGTTAGAGAATATTTAACATTCATTGTCTAATAGCACTCAGAGAATAATAACATGAAAGAAATTGCATTAAAATGGTGAAACAGATATTATTTTTTATGTGTTTTATTTTCATTAAATAAGAGAAACTTTAATAAAATATTATTTATAGATTTTTTTAGAGAAAAGTAAATTCGATAAATAATCTGTGAATCTAAGACTAACGGTAGGACACTATATTATTTTCAATTTATTTTTTTATTTTTTTTACAACTTTTATTTTTATTTTTTGTCGCAACAACAATACCAAATTGTTTTCGATTTTGAATTAAAATATTTTTCGAAATTCAATTCATTTTTATTTGACAATCTTTATATAAACGAAGATATTTGTGACACTTCGTTCTAATATGCTAAAAATCGATCTAATAATTCTGTATATATTCAACTGGTGAATAATTATTGGTATCATCTTTTGATGATTGAAGTAAATCAATCATTGTTGACATTGAATGTTTATTATATATAAATAAACAAGTTAAAGGAAATGATTTCATATAATGTTTTTCGCAGCAAAATAAAATCTAAGAGTAGATTTATTAAATTATTAAACTGAATACAAACTAAATAAGAAAGAATTGTTAACATATTTTTAGGTGTTTGAATAAATGTCATTTTATTGATCGAAAAGATATGAAATAAATAATTGGAAAGTTTCAAGCTGGATTTTGTATTTCATCAATATATTATAATAGAATTTACTCATTTTTATTGAATAAAGATTTCGAATGAATTTGGATTAATTTAGAAAAAGTAAAAATGAGAAATAAATTTCTAATTACATTTGAACATATTCTTTTGTTTTACATATTTCATTTGTTGAATGATATTCTAAATGAAATATTTAATAATCATCATCAAATTTAAATAAAACCATATACGGAGAAAATAAAGTCATAGTTAAAGATACTTATATATAACAATAAAGCTTGATTTTATTAGAGAAATTATTCATATGTGGAAAACAAGACCGAAAAAATATCTCTATCTAATGGCTTTTGAATTTAAATGAATCAGCACATATCATATGAAACTAATCTGTAAGTTTTCTATTTATTTCATAATAAATACATTTAAATATATGAACAATATTATGTCAGAGTTTTTCTGTATCTAATGATATTAATTCTGAATAGACCACTGAAGAAAATGCTGAACATAAATATTCATTATCTCAATTTAAATCTGATACAATTATCATTTATTGATTTTTATATTTAAGAAAAACGATCTTTTATATGTTCACATTTTGTACAAGGGTATGGTCATTGAACTTTGAATGGCCCATAGCAACATCCAGCCAGTATTTCGAGTAAAACTACTCATTTTTAGTCAATATCTCCCTCCCAGATGGTCTCATTCGATGCAGAATTAAGACTAAAATCCACCTCAAGATCTAGGGATCTGTCCCAAATTTCCTTAGTGAATATCAAGTCACATAAAAAAATTTTATTTTATTTTTGAAAACAAAAAATATTTTTTCGCAGTCACATGTATTGTTGACAAATTAATCTGAAAATATTTTGAAAAATAGATTTTAAAATTGATTTCTTCATGAAACTTAATCATTTTATTAAATGTTTATCAACTTCAACTACTTTTGATCTTATAAGAAATATTTTCTTGTAATTCATTTGAACATGATAAGGAAACTAAAGAAGAAATTATTAAATATTTATTTTAAGTTCTTTCAAACGTAAAACAAATTACTTTGTAAATTTTATTAATACATGTCAGATGAAAAAATTCCCATTTCATCAAACTCTTTAAAATAAAAATAAAATTTGAATTTTATATCCTTTCAAAATTTTCATTACTGTTTTATTTTATTTCAATTTCTTGGTCCGCTTTTCCTTCGAATCGTGTTTTTGTTTTCATCTATATGAAAATCTTTTTAATATTTGTTTTATTCAACAAAATTTATTTTGAACTCGATTTTTATTTTCAAGTTTTCATAGAACATTCCTTTTTTCCTCATTTTAAACAATCTTCAAATTTTATCAAATCAAAAGCTAAAAACATTTAATTATTTTCATCAAATAAAAATCTTCAAATAGAATTTTATCAAGCACAAAATCTTCTTCTCGAATAATTTCTATTTAATTTAATTCAAAGTACAAAATATTTTCTTTTCTTATCTTCCGCAAAATTCAACAGAAGATAAAGAATTTAACGTTCATTTGTTGGAATTTTTTAATCAAAATCATCAAATTAAATTCAGTTTTCAAGAAAAAAGATCCAAAAGAATTTTCTCCGTTTTTTATTCAATAAAAACTTTTTTCCTCTTTTTCAAAATAAAAATTTCGTTCACAAAATGGTTAAAAATTTTTGAATTCGATGATTTGAATTATCAACAACATAAAGGTTTCCTTCATCATCAGAAGATAAACCACGAGGACAATTCAATTGATTTGATAAATGTCCTCGACCATTTCCACCAACAACAATCTCACCTTCACCTTTTCCTTCACACCAACGCATTACTCGATTATTCCAACAATCTGCCACATAGATTTGACCAAAATCATCAACAATTATATCTTGAGGTGAAGACAATTGATTGAGATTTCCTCCTTCACCATTTCCACCAGCTACAACTCTTCCTTCTTTTGCACCTTTTCTCCATTTCATCACACGATTATTGTTTTGATCGGATACATAAACAGATTGATCTTCGTCAACAAAGATAAAAGTAGGATAACTGAGTTGATTGAGTTCGTTTCCTTCATCATTTCCACCTGCAACTATAATTCCTTCGTTGTTGTATTCACCCATTTTCCATCGCCTCACTTCATTCTTCCAAAAATCAGAAACATAAAGAAAACCATGTTTGTCCATTGCCAAGTTAGAACACTCAATATTGTCAATGAGAATTTGTTGCTTTTGATTCAACCATTGAATCACTCGTCTGTTCCCAGAATCAGCAATAATGATCGAATGATTTTGTTGATCAACAATCACATTTGTTGGTCGATTCAATTGATCCATTCGATTTCCTCTGTTATTTCCACCTGCAATGATCTGTCCTTCTTTTGCATTATATTTCCATTCAACAATACGATGATTACAATCATCGGCAATGAAAATATTTTTGTTTTTATCAATAAAGATTCCTTCAGGGCGATCGAGTTGATTTAATTCTTGTCCATATCCGTTTCCACCAGCTACAGTAATAGCATTTTGTTTCCATTTGTTGAATTTTGGTTCTAGTAAATGATAAAAACAAAACATTTTAATAAATTGAAGAAAATCTGTTTTTAATCGAAGAAAAAAAGAAAGATTAGTTTTCAATGAAACCTTGAATTCATTTTTTTGTCAAAGTTGAATTTTGAATGAAACATTTATAACAATGTTTTTTTATTATTTAGAATAAAATTTATCAAAATGAAATGAGGAAATATTTTGTTTTCAAAAGAAAAAAGAATTTGAAATTTCTACTTTTTCGAATGAAAACTTTGAATAGAAAGAGTTTTTTGTTGAAAAACAATTTATTGTTGAAATAAATTGACAAAGATCTAATTAAAAAAAAGAAATTTGTTGATTTACTCCTTGTTAAATAAAAAATTTGAGCGAAAAACGAATTTTTTAGAAAACTTGTCAATAACAATAGTTGTTTGAAGTGAACGGTTTGTATCAAATAAACGATTAAAGGCTTAAAATATTTTAATTAAAAAAATAATTTTATCTTTTACTTTTTCTTATTGAATAAATATTACAGTAATCCAAAAACAAGAAGTAAAATGAAACGATTTATGAAATAGAATATTTTTTTATTATTTCAATAGGAAAATTGATTGAAAATATTTTATTTTTATTAAAATAAAAATGAATTGTATTGAATTTATTTTTCAAGAGGAGATTCGTTTTTTATTCGAACTACAATTCTTTCGAAAATGTAAGAAACGATAAAAATTATTTTTTAATTTTTCATTCAAATAAAACAGATTTCCTTTTAAGAATTTTTTTAAAGATTTAGATTTTCAAAAAATTAAATTTCCTCTCTCTTCCTTTAAAATAAATCAATTTTTCTTCATTTAATTCTTTCGATTACCTCTGATTCATCTACCTAAGATTCAAGCTAACTCCAACAAGTTTCATTTTAATGTTATACGTACTAAAGTCGCAATCAAATCGCACGTTTTTAGGCATGTTCTAGTGACGAGTAGTAGAATACGCTACTGACGGCAGTCGTTTCCAACCATTAGCTATATATGTGATAAACCATTTCGAAATACATATACGTGCTTGTTGACCACTTCGGCTCTGTCAGGATCTCAGCGAGATTCAATTTAATTCCCTTCATTTATAACTTCAATTCAAAACTTTTCTTGTGGAATATGTAATAAGGGCTGTTAGTAGAATATGCTGCCAACTCCAGTCAATCACATTCAGTTATTGCTAACGCGAAAAACACCTCAAAGTATACGCGTAGATGCTGAGTATGCGATATATAATGTCAAACCTTCGAAAGATAAACTATGATATTAAGACAACAAAAGACTGAATAAGTATCATAAAAGCTATAGTTATAATTCTGTTTGTTC